AGGTACCCTGTCTGGAATAAGTCCCCCTTTGGCGAGGGCAGGGTTCAGCTCTCCCCTGGTACAGAAGGGGTGGCAGACACTCCACCCCATCTCTGAACAGGACTCAGACCCAGTTTCCAAGGGCCTCTGTCCCCACAGGGAAGGGGAGGGAGAGAGCAGAGGAGGGCGGCAGCGAGGGGCAGGGGGAGCCTTCGGAGGTGGGGACGGCAGACACAGGGACCTGGTAAACAACTCCCCCACCCCGAGTTCAGGGGTGCTTCCCCCCAGAAGCGGGAGAGCGGCTCCGGTGTGTGCGCAGCCGTGTGCGCCCGCCTCCCTGTGTGCGCGCCTGTCGCTGTCATCAGGATGTTCCCCCGCTGTCACTCCCCTGCTCTCTGCTCCGCACACGCGCTCCCCCTCCCCGCCTTCCCCTCTCCGCGGCTCCCTCGTCCCTCCCTCTCCTCCCCAGCGTGTCATTGACCCAGCAGCCCCGTCCCCTTGGCGGAGGCGGCCGCAGGCGTTCCTCTCGCTGCCGCCGGTACGCTGCGTGCCAGGTCCTGCTCGGGGGGCAGGCGATCGGGGACGCGGTGCCACCCGCCGCGCTCTGCTCACGGAGCTGCCTGCTTTCTCCAGGAGTCCCGGGAGGGGCTCACTGGACGGCTCAGAGCGACTGGATTCTAGGAGCTTGTTTGGATGAAGGTGAGTGCTATGCGCTCGGCGGGGGGGCGCTGGGAGCGGGGGCTCGGGGACCGGGCCCATCTTTACTGGGTTCTCCACCTGCACGGGCAACTGCTGTTGCCTCCTGCCCGGGGGCGACTGCCAGGGCCGGGGCAGAGCTCAGGACTGGACATCTGGGCAGCCACAGGACACGGCGAACTCTGCCCTCCCGGTGCTGGGGACGGGAGCTGGGATTCTGCCGAGGAAGGGCGGGGGGAGGCAGTGCCAGTGCCAGATGACAGCCCGGCGGCATGGAAACCGGTCCCTGCAGCAAGGGGAGCACCAGCCAAGAGCCCTGTGCCGCCTGCTCGCCCGGCTCGGCACAGACAGCCCCGGGACCTCGGGTGCTGGTGACAGGCTGGCACAGAGGACCCGGCGGGATGGGGGTGGCAGGCTGGAGGACTGGCGTCTGAGGCGCGGGCACGGCCCTTGGGGTGCTGACCTCGCTACAGGACACCCTCAGCTTGGGGTAATGGCCTTCAGGAGGCTGTCCTTGGACAGGGGTGCAGAGAAGCCCTCCCCAGCTGGACCCGAGTCCCTCTGGCCGGGATGGAGCCTCTGGGAGGGGCGTGGCTGGGAGCGGACCAGGGCGAGGCGGCGCGCAGCCCTTCCTGCCGCCCTTCCCTGAGGCCCCCGGCCCGCCCAGGCCCGGTGGGGGTGGGGAGCCAGGCCAGGGCTGGGGGTCCCCCAGCTGCACACCCCCTCTCCCTACAGAGGGGTCAGGAAGCCTTGGGGTGGTGCACTTAGCTTAGGGGTGGGTGGTATACAGCGGCCGTGCTGGCTCGGCCCCCCAGGCTGGAGCAGGACACCGCAGGACCCAGGTGGTCTGACCGGGAGTCTGGACCTCCCTGCTCGCTCCCAGGGAGCCCTCTGTCCTCTCCCTGAGCTGCGCTGTGCGCTGTCCGCTGTCTGGGGTGGGTGGTGGGACGCTGCACCTGGCTGTCAGGGTGCGTTGGGCATCGCCTGGTCTGATTCAGATTGACACCCGGCAGCTTAGGTAACTCCATGGGCTTGGGGGGGGGCAGGCGGAGCACGTGGAGATGGCGGGGGAGCCAGCCGGGAGGGAAACCCGCAGCCGCATCCCCCTCCCCACCGGCACAGGCTCCACTCTGCCAAGAGAGGGAGACCAGGGAAGCCAGCCGGGGGTGGCAGAAGGCGGGGGTGGGAGTGGGGGGGAGGTTTCTTGAGCGACAGATCTGGTTCCTTTGGGGTTTGTCTGGAAGCAGCATCTGGGGCCAGGATGAGCGAGCCCTGCCCGCACTTCAGGCCCCGACGCCGAGAGGCCCGGGGAGGGGTCGCAGGGGTGCCTGGGCTGCCCCGGGGTGGGGAGGGGAGGGAGGAGTTCGGGCCCAGGCCTCTCTGCACCCCTCCTGGGGCCTCCAGGGGCTCTTCTGTCCTGCCTCCCAGGGGTCTGACTGGCATCGGGAGCATCTGACAAGGAAACCAGGCTGCAGGAAGCCAGGGACGAGGATGGGGCATGCGTTTAAAACTGAACCAGGAGGTTCGCCTGCTCCAAGTACAAATACAGAGCTTTAAAAGCCTGCTCTGTGCTGCCTGGGCAGCGTGCTGTGGGGGCGTCAGCGGAGAAGAGATGGGAGGCCAGGGTCGGGCAGCAGGTGGAGGAAGCAGCCAGGACCCACTCCAGCCCCACCTGCCCCCCTGCCCCGTCCCCCGACCCAGGGCTCAGCGGTACCTCTGGGCCCTGCTGGGGTGGAGGGAAGACAGCGCCCCTGAAGTCCCAGGCAGTGGCTCCACCCCAGCCCTGCCTCTCACCAGCCGGAGACCTTCCCCTCTCTGCAGAGTGAAGGGGTGCTGGCCTTGTCCTGGGTCAGGGACCCTTGACCAGCAGGAGATTCCAGGGGAGGGTGCACGCAGCCGGCCAGCGCCCTGTCCCAGGAGTCAGGAGCCCCAGGTCAAGGCGCAGGGGACGTTAATGGCTGAGGCTCAGACACCGACTTGGAGGGGTGGACATGACAGCAGTACCAGAGGATGGGCAGGGACAACAGGCCCTTGTGGCTTTGCTGCAGGTTTCTGGCTGGAAACTGAGCCAAGCCTGCTTGGAGGAGGAGTTGTGGGGGAGAAGCATGCAGAGGTCAGGGCCCCCACCCTAACCTGGGCCTCTGCAGGGCCAGGCCAGGCGCTCAGCAGGAAGCAGCCCCCACCCCCGAGTCTCCAGGGTGCTGCACCCCCACTCACACTGGCAGGAGCTCGTGGGCGCTTCTGCTCCCACCGCTGCCTCCCAAGCCCCTGGCTTCCCTGGTGCTCCCAGCCCACCTCCTCCCCTCAGCACACAAACCCCCTCCCTACACCCCGGGGAGACCCCCGACTGCATCTGTGACATCACTGGAGAGGGTGGCGGCTTGGATGGGGCCTGGCCTGTCGGTGGGAGGGACGAGCTGCAGTGAGAAAGTGGACCAGGAAACGCTGGGGGCCTGCAAAGCACTGGACGGACGGATGGACGGACAGTCGGAAGGGTGCAGCCCCCACCCCCTGCACAGGAGCCTCTACATGTGAGCAAGACCGGGCAGGGTGCGCCTAGAGGCCTGTAAGTGCAGCTGAGTTAGTCACCAGGCCACTCAGGCCCAAGGCTGCACTCTGCCCTTGCCTGACATGAGGCAAGTTAATGAATTTCCCAAGCCTCAGTTTCCCCATCTGCAAAATGGTGTTAATAGCACTTGTGACCCAGGAGAGGCCTTAGGGAGACTGAAAACCATAGGCAGACACAGGTGTTCGTGGCTACGGTAACGGTTTCTCCCCAGAGTCTTCTTGCAGGAGGTGATGTGGTCAGCATCCGCCCCTACCCACGCCGCCCAGGGCTCCACCACTCCCTGGCTTGGCCTCTCGGGAGGTGCCAGGGTCTACGGGAGAGAAGTGGCCCAGCCAGGGCTTCTCCAACTTGACTGTGGACATGAACGGCCTGGGATCTTGTAAGAAGCAGAGTCGCGTCCAGTCGGCCAGGCCTGGGTGCAGGAACTTCCTAGGTGGGCTGGAGCACGGCGCCCACCCGTCTGTCCTGGGGGGCACCCAGCTCCCTTTAGTTCCACAGCCTCCTGACCCAACTCAGCCCAGCAGTGGAGGCTGGGGACCCACTGGGTCTGTCCTTCTGTGTCCCTGCCCCCCGGGAACACGACAGGAGTGCCCTCAAGGCTGTGGGGCCTAGAGACCGCAGACCCCCCACCTCAACTCTTTTCTGTCCCCCATTCTCCACCCTCAGTGGGGACTTCCCTCCCAGACGGTGTTAATTTATTCCAGCGCCTGCCAGCAGCTGCTCTCCTGGCCTCCTAATGTAGGTCACCCTTCTCCCAGTGAGGCTCGATGCTTCTGGGGGCAGGAAGGGGTCTTTGGGTCGGAGGTGGGCTGGGAGGCAGAGGGCCCAGGAGCTAGGACGTGCTGGGCCCCGTATCCCCCAAGGGGCACTTCCGTGGTGACCAGAGAGCACAGACCTGGGGGGCCTTGTTTTCATCATGTTTCTCCAGAGACCCCAGGGCCACCCCCTCCAGATGATGCCTCTGGGCCTGGCTGGTTTTGTGCAGGTGACATCATTTGAGGCTGGGGGTGGGGTGCCAGGACCCACACTCAAGGCCACCTCCTCCACAGACTGATGCTCACTCTGGGGGTGACACTGAGGACAGGGGAAGGTTGGGGGGCAGGAAGGGGAGCCCACGCAGAGGTGGGGAGAGCTCGGGTGGAAAAGGGGCTGGCAGAGAGGCCTGGGCTGCATGTGCAGCCCCAAGCAGGTCTGAGTGTGGAAAGGGTCCTGGGTCAGGGGTGGCCCCCGAGGGGCTTCTCTAGACCCCGCTTCTGGACTGGAGGTGTCCCCGTGCACCGTCTGCTGGGGCCTCTCGGGAACTGCCTGAGTGGCGGCATCTAAGGAGCGCTGGAGGGCTGCCAGCGTGTGTGTGCGCACGCATGCGCGCATGCGTGTGCACCAGCACGTGCCTGGCTGCACAGCTCCCTGAGGTGGGGGGGGTGTCTGCACCACGTGCTATGTCGGGAGCCAGTGTGTGCATCCTGCTCGGCGCACATATGTGTCCCCCCCGGGGGACACTGCTGGGGGATAGTCACCAGGGAGTGGGTCACGTCCCTGCCCGGTCGTGTGGCCCCGGCAGCTGGTCTCCATCTCTGAGCCTTGGGGGCTGCAGACTGGCCTGGTGCCGGGTGGGTGCTGTGAGCCCCTGACACGCGGGTCCCTGCTGAAGGGAGGGTTGAGGGCATGGAGGGTGGACGCTGTCCTGGGGATGGGGGTCTCTGAAGCTGTGTGTGAGCACCCCATGATCAGGAACAGAGACAGACCGAGGTGTGAGGCTGGGCTAGGAGAGAGGCTCCCAGTCACGCTGCAGCCTGCTGCCCCTCCCTGCAGAGGACGGGCACTGCCATCTCCTTGCGTCTCCCTGGGGCTCAAGCCCAGGCTTGGAGCAGTGACCTAGACTGTCTTCCAAGGTGGCGTCCTGAATTCGGCAACTGTTACTCTTCCCTGATTAGACTGATCTCACGGAGGACAGGGTGTCACGGTCATCACTTGTAGAGACTGACCAGGACACTGAGGCCCAGAGCTTTCACGGCATTTGTGAAGGTTGCACAGGCAGGGGCAGCCGGCGGGGATTCGAGCCCAGAGCCCACCCCGACCTGGGCGTCTCAGCCAGGAGGCTGCGGGGGCCTTACCCTGGGGGCAGGTAGAGAAGGCCCCTGGGCTGCTCTGGGCGGCTCCTCCGCCCCTAAAAGCGTGTGGAACTGGGTGCTCCCCTCACCTACCCGCTGTGGCCAGTACAACTCGCTCTGCAGCCCCCTCAAGGCTCTGAGCCTCCCCAAAGGGGCAGGGGTGAAGCCCAGAGCAACAGACAGCCCCTCCCCGGCGCGCCCCCCAGCGGAGCCCCTCCCTAACCGCCCCCACCCTGAGCAGGCAGCCTTGCTCGCACAGCTGAGGGCCCGCAGGGTGGCTGCAGCCCTGGGAGGCAGCAGCAGCTGTAAGCAGGGGCGGGGGCGTGGAGGCGGGAGACAGGAGAGGCCCCTCCATGCCCGAGGGAAACCCTGCTGGATGCTGAGAGTCCAGGCTGAGCTCGGAGCCCCCAGCAGCTCCTCCCACCTCCTCAGCATCCGCTCTGCTCTGCCATTGGCTCCTGGGCTCCCAGAATTAAACCGGCTGTGGGAGGGGGAGCGGGGAGGGGGCTGGCTGCAACCAGGAGATGCCAGGGACCAATGTGGCAGCTAAGGAAGGGAGGCTGCTGTGCCCTTAGAAGCAGGAGGGGCCACCATGGCTGCCCCTCCATCCCACTCTGTCCTTTCCCCACTGGGCCCTGGGCCAGTGGCAGGGCAGCCCGCGGTCCCCATTCCCACCCCTGTGATGGGGCCCTTGGCCATCAGGGGAGGACTTGTGCCACTGGGCTGGGGGGCAGGTCACCTGAGAAGGGGGAGCTCCCCTGTCCCCGCAGGGAGAGGAACCGCCTTGTGCACCCCGACCTCCCCAGTCCTGCCCTGCGTCCTCATGCTCTGCTCTGCCCCCCTCCCTCATGCCATGGGCAGACTCTGCAGGCTCCCCTGAGCTGATGCGGTTCACAGATCTGCAGGTGGAAGACGGAGCTCGACTGCTCACCTCCCAGGGAACCGTGGTGGGGACGCAGGGGGCCGCCCGGAGGCCAGAGCAGGACCTGGGCCTCACCTGCCCCCCGACGGCTGCCCCCATGCACGGCCTGGTCTCTGACTCCTCCTCGGGGGCCATGGTAAGGGAACAGTGGGCTGGGAGCCTGCAGAGATGGCCCTCAATTTCCGCACCTGGGACGTGGGGGAAGACCAGACACACTTAAGAGATGGACCAGGGAGACAAGAAGAGGCAGAGAAAGGCTGGGGGGGACAGTGACTGCATTGCCCAGCCCAGAGCTCAGCGCCCTGTCCTGCCTGAGGGCTCCTGGGATGCCCGCTTACCTCCATGCATCCCCAGTCACTGAGGGACACCGCGGGTCCCTGGCTTCTCGGCCCCCTCCTCCCCTTCTCCCCGCACCCAGGGAATCATAGCTGAGAAGAACCGGAGAGGGCTGTAAAGAGACACCAGGCCCCCGCCCTGAGCCTGAGCTGGACTGGGCCTTGGACGCCTGCTTCTGCTCAGCTGTCTCTCCCTCTCTCCCAGGACTGACCCATCGGTCCGAGGGGCTCCTGTCCCCAGAGGTGCGGGGCCTGCGAGCCTGCGAGCCTGCAGCCACCATGCTGGCCCCGGGCAGCGGCCCTGAGCGGAGGACCCGGCTCGCCCTGCAGTGGAGGCAGATCTCCTGTGAGTGCGGCGGGTTGGGCGGCGGGGCAAGCGGGGGTGATGCTCCTGGTGTCCATGGCCTGGTTCTGGGAAGCAGGGCTGAGCCCCAGCAGTCCTGCAGGTGGTACCTGGGGAAGGGGCAGGCCGGGAGCCAGAGGCCCCACAGGCAGCTCTGTGTCCCCAGGTAGGTCTGCTCCTGCCCTGCAGCCCCAGCACGTCCTGCCCCTCATGGATCAGTCTCCCCCACTCTGAGACAGAGGGACCGCGTGGGCTTGGGGACGCAGTGCTGGAAGGGACCCCAGGGACCGATCGGGTCCAACCCCTCCCCATGCACATGGGGAGACAGAGGATGTCCACTTCCTGCAAGTCGTCTGGGTGAAGGGAGCCCCGAGATGTCTCACAAAATACAAAGTGGAGGGGCCAAGGTCTGCCTGGGGCCACATGATGAGAGGGAGGGACACTCCCGAGGGACGTTCCTCCACCTGACCTCTCCCCTAGCCTGGTCGGCTGCCTGAATTATTCACCGTGTGGAGCAGCTGGTCCCCGGCCACCTGGCTCCCCTTTCAACCTGCCCCTAGCATCACTGAAAGCCTCACAGAACAGTTATGCTTTCTTGTCACCAGAGCGTTTACGCCAACCCGCGATCCTCGGGGGAAGTGAGGGGACAGTGGCCTCTAGTTACCTCAATCCTTTTGATAGGGAGGCTGAATGGGTTGAATGTCTTTCTGGGGAAAGTGAGGTCTGAAGAATGTTGACTTGTGAATGGCGCGGGGGTCGCAGGGCAGAGGTTGTGCAAGCAGGTTGACCTGGCCCAGACAGCTTAGGGGGTAAGAGGGTCAGCGGTCCAGCAGGTGACCCCAGGTGGCCGGAAGCCGGAAGGGCCTCCAGTTGGCATCCACAGCCACCCCTGTGCTCATTTCCCCTTGAGAACAAAGGAGCTCAGGTGTCAGCCTTGCGGGGTGCCTCTCAGGTGTCACCAGTCCTCCAGGAAGGGGACGCGGTCCCAGCTGTTCCTCCAGGCCCTGTCCTTTGGGAACCAGACACCAGACCCCATGCCGGACAGACCCAGGGCTGTCCCTTCCAGGCACCTGCCCCTCTGGGTGGAGCCAAGTGGCCCGAGCTTCCTCTGGGATGGGTGGGCTCCTCCCTCCCCTTCCACAGTGACACCAGGACAGCCACGGGCGCTCTGTGGTCTCTGAGAAGGGGTGGACCACGAGGCGAGCTCCTCTGCGGGGACTGCTCTCTGAGCGCCTCCTCGCTCGCCCACTGCAGCCCCAGGCTTGCTCCTCAGAGGGGTCCCATGGGACAAAACAGGCCAGTCCTGCAGGAAGTGGGAACGGGAGCCCAGTCCAAGGGGCAGGGCAGGTTCAGAGTGAGAACAGATATGGGGCTTGTCCCCAGCCACGACTCGTGTGGCTTGTGTCTCCGTGTTCTCCACGTGGAAGCGGAGCTGGGCACCTCCGGCACCTCCCCCTCGCCATTTCCACAGCGGTCTCTTGGGTGAGGCGTGGGTGGGCCTCGCCTCCCACCTCACCCTGAGTTGTGGTGGGTGGGACTGGGAGGCTGTAAGGTCGGGGTTGTGTGCCCTTTTGGCCAGCCGCACGGCCCTGTCCCACGCCCGGCCATCAGCCCAGGGCAGCTCCAGGTGGGGGAGCAGTGGGGAGGGAAGCAGAGCCATTTTCTCTGGAAAGGACTCCACCCCGTGGCAGCGACCCCGGGAGCCGAATGTTGGGAGGCTCCTCTGACAGCCCCAGACACGGTTGTGTACATTGGTGGTGGCCGGGGAGATCTGCTGCTCACGTGGCAGAGCCGCAGGGCAGCCAGTTATGTTCCCGCGTGGCCGGGAAGCACTTGTGCGTCGGGTGGCTTAGCTGGAGGCCGCCATGATGTGACCCAGCCAGCAGGGGCGGCTGCAGGACGCGTGACCCCACGGTGGCTTTCCTTCCCCCACCTGTCCCCTTTAGGGCTCACCTGCTGGGCTGCCCTGTGCGCGGCGGAGGCCCTCCCCGCCTGCCCTTTCTCCTGCACCTGCGACGGCCGCAGCCTGGAGGTGGACTGCAGCGGCCTGGGCCTCACCACCGTGCCCCCAGACGTGCCCGCCGCCACCCGGACCCTCCTGCTCCTGAACAACAGGCTGAGCTCCCTGCCCAGCTGGGCCTTCGCCAACCTGTCCAGCCTGCAGCGGCTGGACCTATCCAACAACTTCCTGGACCAGCTGCCGCGCTCGGTGTTCGGGGACCTGGCGAACCTGACGGAGTTGCAGCTGCGCAACAACAGCATCCGGGCGCTGGACCGGGACCTGCTGCAGCACTCGCCGCGGCTGCGCCACCTCGACCTGTCCATCAACGGCCTGGCCCAGCTGCCCCCCGGCCTCTTCGACGGGCTCCCGGCCCTGCGCTCCCTATCGCTGCGCGCCAACCGCCTGCAGAGCCTGGACCGGCTGACCTTCGAGCCCCTGGCCAGCCTGCAGCTGCTGCAGGTGGGGGACAACCCCTGGGAGTGTGACTGCAACTTGAGGGACTTCAAGCACTGGCTGGAGTGGTTCTCCTACCGAGGTGAGCACGGCCAGCCGGCCCTGCCGGGGAGGGGCAGGAGGGCCGCCCCGCCCAGCAGGGGGAAGAGCGGGAGGATCGCCCCGCCCAGCAGGGGAGGGGCGGGAGGTCACCCCGCCCAGCAGGGGGAAGAGCGGGAGGATCGCCCCGCCCAGCAGGGGAGGGGCGGGAGGTCGCCCCGCCCAGCAGGGTCCTGGGGCTGCCAGGACTCAGGGCCGGCTGGGGAAGGTGGCCCTACCTCTCCACCAGCCTCTCCACCTGAGCTGGAGCCTCGGGCAAAGGGGCTGGTGATCCTCTCCCTCCTCCTCCCGCTGCCCGCTTCCTTCCTGGCCCCTACGCTCCCAGCCTCCCTTCTCCTCAGACTCCCTCCAGGTAACTCCATCTCGCTGTCGTAGGTCTCATGATGGACCTGAACACACAGTGACCACACAGAAACGAACTTTCCTCCACCTCTGGGCTTCCCTGGCACTGGAGGAGGAGCAATAAGACCACCCCTGCCCTCTGAATAACGTAGCCCCCAACATACCCAGTCTCGGGCGGTGGGGGACAGAATTGAAATCCACAGGTGAAACCAGATTTTGATGATCTCAATTCCTTCTGCCAAGAAGCATTGTTATCAAAGCTTTTACTGAGAAGCCAAATGCCTGTGGCTTCCATTTCTTTCCCTTCCTCCTTTCATTAACCCGGGAGAGTCCTAAGATGACCCCTGAAATGATTCCGTGAAACGGACAAGGAGGGCAAGGAGTGAGCCCATGGGGCAAAAGCACCACATCTGGCTTGGCCTCGTGGCTCTGCCACTTACTAGCTGTGTGATCTTGAGAAGTCAATCAGCCTCTCTGTGGCTGTGCCCTCATCTGTGAAATGGGGCGAAAAAGAGTATCTCAGAGAATTATCATGCAGATAAGTTGGTTATGCACGGCAAGTGTCCGGAAAGGTACTCAGCATGAAGTCAGCCCCCGGTAAAACCGACATGCACGCTTGCTTGCGGGCTGTCCTCATGACACCAACCGGGCTTAATTAGACATCATTTGGTGCCCAGCCCCAAGCAGGCATTCCCTGAGTATTTGCTGAACGAATGGATCGATGTGAAAAGGACGCCAGTGCTCTCAGCAGAGCCCCCAGCTTCTTCAGCTTCGTGTGGTTTCCCATCTAATTACTTGCAGGACAGTCTCATGTGTGAGTTAATGGAAAACACTTTACAAACGAGCAGGCGCTGGGAAGCGCTGTAAAGCGCTCGTCTCCGTGGTGAGTGCGCATTTCTGTGAGTGAGGAGGCGATGGTGAGTGCAGGTGTAGCTCCCAGGCCACAGCCCCCTCTGCACAGCACAGCCTGGGTGAACCCTCAGAGCAGCTGCCTGAGGGGCCACTCGCATGGCCAAGAAGTTAAATGAGTCAGGTAGTTTGCACAAGGCGATGCAGTCGGGAGCCACCGCAGGTTTTGGGAGCAGGAAGGTAAGGGCCCTTCCCATCTCGGCACCCAGCTCCGGCAGGTACAGGGGCCCTACACACACTTCACCGGCATAAGCCGTGCGGCAGGCAGTGGGCGACACAGGGTCCTGGAGGGCCAGGCCCGTGTGTCATCCGCAGGGGACGTCCTTGGCCTTCCACGTGGTCACAGGGACTAAGGGGCATGGAGGGGAGTGTAAGTTTTAGGAAGTTTTCACTAGCAGAGTTATTTTCAACGCACTCCTTGGAGGGGGGAAGAACAAACCAAAACCAAAACCCAAGGCTGTTTTCCCCAACACCCAGGAAAGATTGATGTCCTTTGTGTGAGGAGCTGCGGCAGCCGGGCTGGGAGCAGCGCAGGCAGTGACAAGTGGCAGGAGCCGTCCCTTCAGCGGGGGGCTGGCGCCTGCTGCTGGAAGAGGCCAGAATTGTGACCTCCAGGGGGTCTGGGCAGCTCTTCTCCCCCCCACCTGTGCTCGCTCTGCACCTGCCCCACCAGGTGGTGTCCGGCTTGGCCTGGAGGTGAGCCTGTGCTGTTGGCACTGGCCCCTCCTCCACCCGTGGGGGTCTTCACCTTCCCTCCAAAGAGGCCTCTGCCCTCCAGGTGCTGGGGAGGGGTGTCCGCTGATGGGGTCCGGCCCTGCTCTTAAAGAGGCAGCTACTCTCTGTCCTCCGAGGAGGCACCTTAGGCAACCAAAGGTCCTGCGTGGAGGAGCAGAGGCCCTGACTTCTGTCCTCTGTGTGAGCGGGAAGAGCTCAGGGGGTCAGGACACTGTGCTGTCACAGCAGGGTCAGCAGGAATTTGGGGCAAGGAGCACCGGGCACTGCGGGCCGGGTAGGGCACCTGGGGCTTTTGACTCTGGGGAACAGGTGAGACAGAATTGTTTGTGCTGCTCTGTAAAGTGGAAACAGGGACACTGTCCACCCTATGCAACGTCCGCACGGGGTAATGACCTGATGTGCGTCCCTCCTTTCCGCGGCCCTTGCCCTGATAACTGCTAGTCTCCCCTCCCTTCCCCTCCCGTGGACGCGACTCCAGGACTGACGGCGCTGCCGACGGAAACTAGCCCTTCTGGGCCCTCCGGTCAGGACCTGGCCTTGGGGAGGGAGTGCTGGTTCCCGATACCTGGCCAGCCCCCTTTACTCTCTCCCGGATGCAGGGGGGCGCCTGGACCAGCTGGCCTGCACCCTGCCCAAGGAGCTGCGGGGGAGGGACATGCGCGTGGTCCCCGTGGAGATGTTCGACTACTGCTCCCAGCTGGAGGACCAGAGCAGCTCGGCCGGGCTGGACGTCCCGGGGCCGCCCTGCACCAAGGCCAGCCCAGAGCCTGCCAAGCCCAAGCCGGGCCCTGAGCCCGAGCCGGAGCCCAGCACCGCCTGCCCACAGAAGCAGAGGCCGCGGCCGGTGAGCGTGCGGCGGGCGGTTGGCACAGTGATCATTGCGGGGGTGGTCTGCGGCATCGTCTGCATCATGATGGTAGTGGCCGCCGCCTACGGCTGCATCTATGCCTCCCTCATGGCCAAGTACCACCGGGAGCTCAAGAAGCGCCAGCCCCTGATGGGCGACCCGGAGGGCGAGCACGAGGACCAGAAGCAGGTGTCCTCTGTGGCCTGAGCGCCCTGGCAGGAGGGGCAGGGGAGCAGGCCAGCCCTCCCTCCGCCTCCCTCCCTTTCCGCTTTCCTCCTAGCCTGCTGGCACACGGGCCACGCCTGTCTCCGTGACCTCCCGAGTCTTTGGGAGCCACCACTGGGCTCACACCCCTCTCGGGGCCACCGAAGCACTGGACCACAGGGCAGAAAGGATGTGTGTGTGAGCAGAGGCTCCTGGACCCAGCGCCCCCATGCCCCTCTGGCCCCGGGTGTGATCACGCCTGGACGCTCTGACCTGTGGCCCTACCCACCCTGTCTGCATTTAGGGGGTGGGGATGGAGTGGCGTGGAGGTTGGGCCACTTCTGTAACTCTCTCCTAAGAAAGACGTTGGGTCCAGCCTCCATCTGCTGGTACTCACGTGCAGTCAGACCAGCCCTGCCATCTGGACCCAGCACTTGGAAACACTCCCTCGCCAAAGCCGTCTGTCCGGATCCCCGACCACATGGCTCCGGGACCACTGATCACCCTCACACAAACTCAGCTCACCACACACACAACCACAAGGGGACAGAGGTCTGGGGCCTCATGGAGCAGAGCCAGGCACCCCCTGGGTCTCTGTCCAGCCCTCAGACCACACAGCCTCCTGCTGGCTTGTGAATCTTCTCCAGCCAACGGGGAGGAGCCCGAACCCACAGCACAAGAATTCCTTTCAGAGCCTCTCAAGAGGCCCCGGGGTGCCGCTGGAGGAGGCTGCCGTCACCATGGTAACCCGCTCACACGTCTCCTGCTTGGATTTCCAGGGACACTGGCCCAGGGGCCTCGAGGCTGCAGTGTATGTGGACAGCAGCCTCCCAAGGGCCCACCACATACCACGCCTGTAGCCTGCAGCCCCAGAACCGCCCCCTACTCCAACCCCACATCCCTGAGCCTGCGACCTCGTGCAGGGACTGGGTCGTGCTCTGTGACTGGTGGCACCCTAGCGGAAGGTCACTGCCTGCCGACCTGTCCCAAGCGGGCCCCGGGAGCAGGGGAAGGACCTCGACTTCTGCTCAGACGCATCAGTAACTGGGTCCCTTTCTCAGCGCTTTGTCAGCTCAGCCTGGCTTCCCAGAATCCTTCGTGACACCTGGACTGGAGCCCAAACCAGAGCATAGGCCGGGGGCCCATCTGCCCTTTACCTGCAACCCACACTAAAGGGGCAGAGATACGTGCTTGCAGGGCTAGGGGGCGGGTGAGCTATGCAGTGGGGGGCGGTCACTAGTGTCCTTTCCTAGCTCTGCCCCTTCTGGTGAGTGTGACCTCGAGTGAGCCCTGGGCTCCCTCTGCAGGGGACACCTGCCAGGGACACAGATTTCCCCCTGGCTGACAGAGGGTCGGGGCATCAAGCTGGTTTCTGGCTCTGGGACGGAGGTCTTGAGGTGGCGGCCAGGGGGAGGCCACCAGAACACGCGTCTGAGGCAGGACAGGGAGGGGGAGCTGGGCACAGGCTGCCCACCAGGCTGGCCCATAGTCCCCCCTTCTCTTGGGGCACTGGCTGACACCAGATCTGGGTATTGTCTGAAGGGAGCTGGGGAAGGCTGGGCATTGTCAACGGTGGTGTCTCCAGCCTGAGACAGAGATTTTTAAAGGCAAAACTATATTTCTGGCTTGTTGTTTCAGAAGACCAATAAAGACTGTATTTTCCTATGTGCATCCTGCTTTCCTTGGGGGGCGGCCAGTGGGGGCCGAAGGCTGGTTGGGAGGGCTCTGCGGCTGAGCACAGAGCTGGCCGCGGGCAGAGGAGGGAGGTGGGAGGCCCCTTCCTGCTCCCTGCCCCGCGGCCAGAGGGGCGCCCTGCAGTGGCGGCGTGGAGGGCTTGCCTTTGCCCGGTGACCCTGGCCTGATGGGAGGCCAGCGGGCTCCCTGAGCACAGTGGAGGCGACTAGGTCTCACCTGCCTCAGGGAGGCCGCCGGGGTTGGCAGACGTGCAGGAGGGACCCGCTTAACGCTTTGCACTTTCCAGACGGACTCTAGGGACAGGCCCACAGCACTCTGGGTTCATAAATATGACCCCTCCTAAGGGGTGCAGAATCAGAATTACGGACCCAAGGTCTGGGGATGGAGGCCAGGAGAGGAGGTGACCGAGAGGGCAAGGGCTCTGGGCTGCTTGTCCACCTGACACCCAAGTGACCCTCCTTGCCAGACCGGCGTCTGGCTGACCCGGTCTGGCTACGTGGGTCATGTCTTCAGAGACCAAGACGGAACTCTCTCCTGCCCAGGAGCCCTGCTTTGGTGACACCCCAGAGAGCCAGGAGCAAACCCCAGGGGGAAGGGGTCCCATTCAGCTCCCCGTCCCTACCCCCGTTCCTGGTGGGGTAGCTGGGGAGAGGGTCCTCCCGTGGTCCCGCAGGGACAGCAGAGCTGGAGGTCAGCCACAGCCTGCACGGCCGGGGAACGCGCTCCAGGGTCCAATGCTGGGCTGTGTGCACGCAGGCGGAACTCCGGGGAGAGGGGCCATCAGGCAGCCCGACAGCAGCCCCGCCACACAGGGCCTCTGAGCCAGGGAAACACGTGCAGACGGTGGTGGCACCACTGTCATGCTTGGCCACATTCCCCAACCCGGGCCTGGTCGGCACAGAGAACTGGAGGCGGATCCAGATCAAAACAGCAGGTTCCTAGAAAGGTTGTGGAAACTGTTGCTAAGTCACCTGCTGAGAGGTTGACCGATCTGTCCTCCTTCGTCGCTCGCTCGCTGGCCCCGCAGCTGCCCTGCCACCCCTCCTCGGCCCCACCCCTGCACAACACGGATGTGCGCCCAGCCTGCCTGCCACACAGCAAGTTCATGTGCACACAGGGACGGCCTGCCAGAGCCGCCAGCCCCTCCTCGAGCCGCGGGCCCAGCTGGCCCAGGGTCAGGGAGGCTGAGCCACAGGCCAGGAAGAGGAAATTGCCAGAGGAGACTGGAAAACAATCCAAGCAGAAAGGTGTCCTGCGCCTCATCCCTTTCCTAGCACAGCCGCATCGCCCGGAGCATCAGAGCCTTTGTCTGCAGAGAGTTAAAGCGGCAACACCAGGACACGGTTTCCATGGCAACCCCTCCCGGCTCTAATTCGAGCTGAGTTAAAATGATATCGAATAATTGGAGAGTGCAGGAGAGCGCAGAGGCAGCCTGACCCCGCATGCTCCTCTCCCCTGGCCCCCCAGGTGCGCGGTGCTGAGGCGGCCAGTCGTGGAGGAAGCAGGTCGGGGACAGGCTCAACCAGGCCACGGAACGGTCTTTGGGGCCTGGGGTCAGCAGGCCAGGGTGAGGACAGAAAGGCGGCGGATGGTGTGGGCCCCTCCCAAGGGCCCAGCAGTGCAGCCTGTGGACTCCAGTGACAAGTGCATGAGGGTGCCAAGCAATCCGACCGAGTTACCCACTCCTGCCTTCACCCCATGGATGGCAGCCCGAGGTGGCAGCCCGCCTGGCCGGCCTGCTCCTCCCAAGTCCTTCACTCAGGCTGGGGGGGGAGTTGGGGGTCCTGTCCCCCCACCCCTGCAGCGGCGGTGGCCCCGCACAACACAGGCGCCCGGTCCCAGCACCCACGCTGACTGAGGGTCCGAGGATCTTGCAAGTTCTAAACACGGCAGGGTCAGAGACATGAGGTGGAGGCTGGAGGAGGTGGCTTCCTCACACAGACCTCACAAAGTCGGGGCAGCATGCGAGGCTCACTGGGCCCCTTCTTGGCTTTTGTGGCCCAATCGCAACACAGGGCCACGAACTGGGGCCTTCAAAAGAGGCGACCTGAACTCTAATTCCAGCTTTATCAACTTAGCCGTGGAACTCTAATTCCAGCTTTATCAACTTAGCCGTTTCTGGGTCTCAGTTTGTCCTCGGTAAAATGGAGCCAAACCAGATCACCCGAAGGCTAGCTGAGCACATGCACGGAAACGCTGGACCGGCGCCGGGGCTCTGGCTCCGGGGTCTAGTCACCAGTCCCAGCCCCCTTCAGTGGGATCCGGGGGCCCAAGGCGACGGAGGCGGAAGCGACGGAGGCGGAAGCGACGTGCAGAGGGTGGGAAGGCAGCCTGGGGAGCAGCCTGGATCCTGTGTGACCTTGAGCAGATCTCTTAACCTCTCTGGGCTCCACTTTACACCATGAACTCCGTTAGAGTTAAGGTTTCATGGTTTTATAACAAAATGGCTTGGAGGACTCTGCCCTCTGGCCCCATGCTTCACCAGGGAAGATGCACAGCCAGAGGGCTGTGGCCCCAGCCCCGCCCAGGGCCGCCTGCATCACCTGCGCCTCGTTCTCCACCCAGACTCACAGCTGCCCGGCCTCACGGCCCCGGGGCAGCGCCTACCTGCTGCGATGGCCGTCCTCCCGTCCACCGTCACGGCCACAGCGGTGCTCACCGTCACCACCACAGGCTGGCCCGGGCTCTCTGGGGAAGGAAATGGCCGGGTCACTTTCTCAACGCCTGCAGGGCTGTGGCTGGGGAGGGCCGAGAGGACAGGTGAGGACCAGGTCAGGACGCTCCTCGAGCCAGTCAGGGGCCGCCCGGGAACCTGTCCATTGCCCGCGACCGCTGGTCTTTGCCGAGGGCCTCCTGCATGCTGGGGGCCCCCAACTCTCCATGCAGCTCAGAAGCCACCAGGCCGCCTGGACAGTGTCACAGCCAGGTCACTGTGACACTGAGGGTTTGCTCTGCCCAGGGCAGCAAACCTGCCTGCTACAGCTCGGGAGCCCTGCTGGGACCCACCCAGAAGGCTCGTGTGACATCAAGTGGCCCTTTCGAGCAGGGGGCAGGCTGCATTCCAGGACGCGGGGATGGCTGACCCTGGGCTGACCTTCATCAGTCACAAGAGTCAAGAGTCAGGGCGACCGTGGCGGCCCCACAGGGAGGCCCGACACCAGGGCTGCGTCCTGCAGTCGAGCTGGCGTCCGAGGCGCCCACAGTCCTGGCAGCCCCCACGCCGCGGTCCCACCGAGCCTTTCCTTGCTGACGGCTGGTCGCTGCACTCCTGGGGCATCGCCTGGCTCCACGAGCCTGCCTGGAGTCGCCTTTCCCGCCCCTTCTGAGGGAGTCAGGCCGTGGGGCAGAGTCGAGGCAGCAGTTCAGCTTGCAGTCACACGGCTTCGTGGCTCTGAGGGGCGCCGGCCGGCACGTGTCCTCTGCTGATTAACTGTACAGCCCGGACTAGCTTTTCAAAGCACCCTTGTCTACGGGTCCCGTTCATCACTGAGAACTCCACGAAAGGGGCACGGTTTTTCCTGTGCTTTGTCTTCACATCGAACAGACAGGTCGCAAGAACCTCACGCTGTCCGACGTCACGGAACTTAAATCGATCACTCATTTCTCGTACCCAAGGTTTTGGCAAGGTTACCCGTCACACCTTGCCGTAACCAGGAACCTCCGAGACCGAAAACGACTCTGGTTCTGGGAACTGACACTGTGAAAAGTTGTCCTTGACTCTAGGAGCTTGCCATGATGAAGACACAGGTACCACAGTACACAGAAGCCGGCTTCCCCAGGTGCTTCTGGGAGTGTCCAGGAGGTACTGATGGGGTGGCCTTGTGCTGTCCCCGGCCGCAGGCTGGCTGCTTTCCAGACAGAAAGGCACAGGCTTGGAGGAAACACCGGAGTGAAGGGGTGGGGCCCTAGTCACGCGGTCTCTGGGGACATCGGGGATCTCAGCACCAGTGAGACCCGGAGGCCACCGGGCCCAGCGCCTGGGTGGACGAGCGGGCTACCGGGGGTGGAGGGGCGGGCTGTGGACACGGGGGGACAGGCCTGAGGCGCTGGGGCTCGGGGGAGACTCTGCTCTGTGCCGGCCGGTTTCTCAGCACCGACTGCAAAAGGCAGCTCCACGTGGGCAGAGGGCCACAGAGTCAGCCTGGGGAGGGGCACCGGCCCCTCACCCCGCAGCGCCCCCTCTGCCTCCTCGGGGGCCCCCATTAAATGAAGCTGTTTTCTCTCTTCAGGGGAGATGGGAGTGTGCGGGGTCCCTTCCTGGGCTCCTCCTTCTCCTCCCCCTGCCTCCACGTTCCCACCCGCCGGCCGCCTCCTCCCGCCACAAAAAGCTCCCAGGCGCATCCCTGGGCGGGAGGGAGCCCGTCACCACAGAACCTCCCAGGACCCCGTGGGCCCCTCCTGCTCCCAAGGGTCCAGTGTGGGAAGGGGCCTCTCGTGGCCCTCCCTCCTCCCGCCTCAGTCACGTGAGCCCCCCACCCGCAGGGCCAGCCGACCCTGGGGCCCCGGCGGATCCTCAGACTCTCCCTGTGTGGGGAGAGGGAAGGACCGTCTTACAGGCTGGCAGGCTGGATGGGCTACTTGTGGGCAATGCGTCGTCAAGGGGGCAGTGACACTGTGGGTGGAGGACAGGGCAGGCGGCCTCCCTCCAGGGGGCACGTGCTGCCCGTGGCCACTGAGGGGCCGGGGCAGGGCCTCCCCAGCTGTCAGCTGGGGCGTGGTCGGAAGCCCGGGGATGGCTCCAGTGGCGGTGGGGCGGGCGTGTGGGTGGAGGGGCCCTGCATCCGACGTGCACTCAGCCGCCCTCCTTCCGGCCTCTCCCCTCGTGCCCCCACCTCCGCTCACTTTCCGGCTCAGGACCCCCAGAGGGGACTCTTGGGGCCTCCGTGGGCTGCAGCCGCTGCAAGTGTGAGTCGGGACCATGTGCCCTCTAAGCTCCTTCCCGTCCTAAACATCTTGCCATCTTCTTGGTGCTCTGGTAAAGCTACCTAACTTTTCTTGTTTCGGCCATTTTTCATAGTGGGAGCTGCAGCTCTGAAAGGCCCTGGCCCATGGACAGCAGGAATGCGCTGGCTTGGGGCCTCGGCGCCCAACCCAGGCCGCCCTCCTCACCCCCTTCCTGCCCCCACAGCCTGGCAGCCAGGAGGCGCCCCGCTATCAGGGGAGCTGGGGGAGCAGACGGGGCTCAGCGCTGCCGCTCCTGGGAGACCCCGGGGGAGGGAGTGCCGGGGAAGAGCCGGTAGCAGGCAGTGGACTCGGACAGCCCAGCGCCCGCGTGGGTGAAGCCGCCCCTCTCAGCCGGCTGCTTTAAGCAGCTCTCAGAGATGCTCAGATGCTCAGAAACAGCGGACTCGGCGGTCGGCTTCCAGCACGCTCCTGGGTGGAGCTGGGGTTGGAGCCCAGCTCTCCTGACTTCTGGGGCAAGCCTCTTCCCTTAGCTCCAGCTGGATTTTCTTCAATTCTTTTTAACTGAAGTGTAGCTGATTTACAGTGCTGTGTTGGTTTCTGGTGTGCAGCAGCCATTCAGTTATGCATACATATGTTCTTCTTCAGGTTATTTTTCACTACAGACAGTAAGTGCAGTTCCCTGTGCCACCCAGTGGGACCTTGTTGATCTATTTTATACAGAGTGTATCTGCTAATCCCAAACTCCTAATTTATCCCTCTGCCCCCATCTCCTTTCGCTGGCCAGAGAGTGAAATTCCCCGCTGGAGTGCAGGGTAAGGTGCGAGCTGAGGTGTGAGGAGGGGAGGCAGGGCCCCAAGGCCTGGACGTTCTGTCCGGTGTCCCCATCCTGTCTCCCATCCACGTGCAGCGGGAGGAGGGAGGCCGCATCCCCCGGCCCGCAGCTCAGGGCGCGGATTACCTGGGCCCTCCGCCGAGCGGAGGTTGAAGACCATGCTGCCTGGGGGCTGCTCGGCCGCCTGGCGGTACCACAATGGGAAGTGGTCCAGGGTGAACATGCTGGCCTCGTCCGCGGGAGTCAGGAACCCCCTGCAAGGAGAAAGGTCTGGCACGTCCCCCAGATCCGGGAGCACGGTCTCCTCCTCGTTCTGACAAGGTCATCTAGGCTGGGCCCCAGAGCCCCTCGCCTCTGCCTTGGAGGAGCTGCCAGGAGAAAAGGTCAGCCTGTAAGCTGGTGCTGCCCCCGCCACGCGCCCCAGCAACCCCGCCCTTTCCAGAATCTCATGCAGGTGCGTCTGAGGGCACGCTGCCACAGGAAGCGGTAGAGCCCGCCTTACAGAAGAGCTTTCCATTTTCTGCGAACGCCTCTGCCTGCAGGATTTCTTTCTTTCGGATAAAGCCTAATTTCTGCCTGTCAGGCTAAGCGGCGTGTCTGGAGGAGGAGGCTGCACAGTCAGAGAGGGGCACGAGTTCCCCCGAAACGCAGGCTCTCGCCTTGACAGGCAGTGCGGGCTTTCTTTTCCGGAGTGGTTCTACCTTGCTAATTATGGCTCGGGCCCCGGCGCTCGGCAGCCTGCAGGAGGGAGACGGCCCAGGAGCGGAGTGGGTGGCCGGCTATCAGTGACTGTAAATAACCCGCGGTGGGGGAGAGCTGCGGGTGGATTCTGGGGAGGCTGGGCACCCGCGTCGCAGAGGCCGACTGGCCCGGCTGCACTGCCGGCCTGCACTGCGTGGGCTGCACTGCCCGGCTGCACTGCCTGGGCTGCACTGCCCGGGCTGCCAGCCAGGCCAGGGTCCGGCAGGGGAGCCCCCTGGAGGTGTGCATTCGGGGCAGCTGGGTTCATGACTCGGGGAGGTCTGTCCGAAGCCTTTTGGAGGGGATGCAGGGAACGCGAGACTCTCCCCTCACACTGCTGGGTGTGGTCCACCATCCGACCTCGGCCACACAAAGACATGAACCTGTGATTTTCTGACTGGGGGAGTTCAAGGGGATGGGGAAGGACTGGGAATGGTGAGCCTGGGGAGGAAAATTCCTCGTGGTTCAAGACCTCTGGGTGAACCTGCAGGTTCCCATCTGAGTCGCTTGCCGCACCCGTAACGGGCCCTGGAAGGAATGCTTCCTCGGGGAAGGCGGGAGATCCACTTAATTCCTCTTCCTCAGAACCCTCTGCTTCCTAGCAAGTGTGGGTCTGCCCCAGAGTCTCAGAAGACGCTCCGGATGGCGCCGCAGCTGAGTGCTTGGATTTACCAGAAGGGGCAGACAGTGGGTGGGACACAGGGCTGAGGGGCCAAGTCTGCCTGGGAGCCCGGCGGTTCTCCCCCAGGTGCCCGGCCACCCCACCTCCTTTGCAGAGAGGCAGGCGCTCTGCCCCCCACCCCAGCTTGCTCCCTCCTCCCCTGGGGGACACGTCCAGGATGCGCCCAGGCCCGGGAGCACTTCTCTGCCTCTCCCGGCCTGTGAACCCCAACCCTTCCTCCCCTGCACCCCTAGAGCCCAGGGTCTGTCTGTCCACAAAGCACAGGGATACCCGAGGGACCCCGTCCCCTGGCTCCCAGCGGGACTCACTTGTCGGAGACCTTCTCGGAGCCCACGAACAGGCTGCTTCTGAGGAGGCCGGCCCGTGTGCCCAGGAAGGCCATGTCCACCACGCGCTCGGACTCCCTGCAGGCACACAGGCAGGCGGCGTCACCGCGGGTCCAGGGAGGGCACGGGGGGCCGGGAGGACCTGCGGGTCCCCCGTCTCTTCCGCTGTGAGCATCCCTGGGCCTCGGCCCCTCTGCATTTACTCAGCTCTGGGGGGGGGTTGGCTCTGGAGGGCAGGAGGAACTGAGGGAGAGGTTTGTCATGGAAGCAGAGAAGTTGCCCTTCATGAGCAGCACAGTTTACAGCCTTTCACACACTCGCCTTGCCCCTGAAATGTGACAGGAGCAGGCTGCCCTCATCGGACTTCACAACTCTGCCAGCGGGGTCCAGGAGCCTGGGGAAGCCCCCGCGGAGCGTGGAGCACCGAGCACCGTGAGGCCTGCGCCCCACGTGGGGGCCCTCATCTTTTTAAAACTCCAGCTTTACTGAGGCAGAGCCGACACACACCGTGGTAGCTCAAGCGTCCATCGCGGTGGCTTGACTCGCGGGCATGTTGTGAAAGGGGCCTTTCTTTCTTGTGTTTGCTGAGAACACTTACGTTCTGCTCTCACGGGAAGTCCTAACCACACAGCCCAGCGTTCCAACCAGAACCACCATGTTTTACAGAGAGCCCCCGACCCCCTCACCTCACCGCTGAGAGCCTGTGCCCCCTCTAGCACCCCATCTCTCCCCGCCCCGGCACCCTGTCTCTCCCAGCCCCAGGCACCCCGTCTCTCCCAGCCCCGGCACCCCGTCTCTCCCCGCCCGGCACCCCGTCTCTCCCCGCCCCGGCACCCTGTCTCTCCCAGCCCCGGCACCC